TAACACAAAAATTTTGAAAATGTCGAGTGGAGCACTGCAATTCTAGATAACGATATAAAATATATTAAGTAATTTAAAATATATTTATAATAATTATACATACTGTTCTAACTTCTATTCTTTCTAACACAAAATTTTTAAAAATGTCGAGTGGAGAATTGGAGAATTTTATAAAAAATATATTTTAGAGCGGAAAAATAAAATAAAAGAACTAGACATATTTTTCGAATAAATATTTAAAATTTATTTTAAAAATATAAAAATAATCAAATACTGCTCTCAAAATTATTATTTATATATTAAAAACATTAAAATGCTAAAAAAAAATTGTCGGAGAAATTAAAAAATTGTGGGAGAAATTAAAAAATTGTGGGAGCTTTTTGTGGGAGATTTCTAATGGTGGGAGTTTTGTGGGAGTGAGATATATGTGGGTAAACTAAAAAATTATGGGAGACTCCCACTGATGGGGGGAGACATGGCAACCCTGCCCCCGATCCTATTAGTCAGGTCGACGAAAGTTGATAGTAAATCGTTATCTATCGCTAAATATTTGTTGATTGTTAAACGAAAATCTCCGCATATTCGCACCGCACCGGATTTCTTTAAGATATTAACCGTTGGCGTATCCCAAATAGTTAGTGTTAATGTTGAATCCACCTACTCGATAACGCCTTCGTCTAAAAGTCTGTCCAACTCATCGACGCAACGGAAATGGAATTCTTCCAGACGGTAGCGCAATTGGCACTGAGTTTGATTATATCTTGATGACGGCTTCCTGTAATTGTATTTGTCCTTAGTATTTAAACTGGAATCTTTCATATTTATATTATTAATTCGTACTTCTTCAGGAAGTTTTATATCAAATTCTCTAAGAAAGACCCTTAACTACCCAAATTAATAAAAATTTTGAAATACTCTGTACTTCGACTTCCACTAAACATTTACCCAATACTTCTATCTTGATGTGGTTATATCCTACAAGTTTATAACAGGTGTTAATGGTGGTTTGCCGCGACTCCAGGTAACCTCATCTATCACACTACATGCAGCGCCAGTATCAAATTCCATACTAAGCTGCAGCCCATTTATCTTCGCATCGATTGTAGCTTTATTAACAAAAGGCAGGCGAGATGTCCATGGTAAAATCATTTGTATCGCATGCGTTCTACACTCATTCGCTATATGGTTTGCTTTTCCGCACCTAAAGCATATTACTTTTTTTTGACTGAAATTAGATTTAAAACTTGATTTATAATTATTATGGGAATTTGTTAGCATTATAATTATTATTGAATTTATTAACGTTATTATAATTATTCTTAAAATAAGTATATTTGGAACCTTTCATAAGCTTATGTTTAATTATTTTATTAACTTCTGCGCGGGTCTTTCTCAATGAAGACAGCGCGATAGCTATAAACACAGTATATTCAAAAGTAATAAAATATTGAGTTAGCTATTTTTAAAAATCGGCTCAAAACGAGCCCGTTTAGCAACACTACATCCAAATTATGCCTAATATATTTTGACCGAAGTTCTTTGTCCAGCTCAGATAACCCTACTCCTAAGATGAAAATATCTCTTATGAGTTCATCAACCGGCGATTTAAAATTACATAAAGAGTAAATTTATTTTATTTGATTGAAAAATCGATAATAGTTTCATTACCTCTTATTAAAGTATAAAAATTATTGCGATGTAGAAAAAAACTCGAAAAATCTTTAAATATTTTTTCTAAATTGTCAAGTAAAATTGAATAATTTATATTATCTAGGTTATTAAGGAAGTAAACATTTTAATTAAATTATCAGTGCCTATATAGGCTAAAAATGAATCTTTTTTTTTATTTTGATCAACAATATTTTTTACTTTGAAAATGAGTTCTATATTTTATAGATAATCTTGAATATTAAGTTTTTCTTTCACGAATTCTAGAATATAAAATTGACGTTTTTCTTCAGAAATATCTTATTTGAGTCTTCGTTAGGCATAGTATAATTTTAACCTTTTAAAAATTTTTTGAATCTCGATGATTTTTGGTATGCGTCATTTTAGGAAATTTTAAATTTTATTTAATTTTAAAACCAAAAAAAAATAAGAATTATCTGAAAACCCTAAATTCGAATTTTCTTTCACTTATCTTTATTAAGAAATTATCAAATTTCTTATCCTGATTTCCATTCTTTGGATAACTAAAAGTAACATTAATATATTGTAATAATACATTTAAATAAAATTATAATGCATTTAAAAAAAAAATAAAAATCTTAGAAAATTTTTATTCTCATTTTCCCACTTAAACTTGGGTCCAAAACATAAAAAAATTATATTCGATATATAACTTTGACGTAAATCTTCATTAAAGTTTAAAAACTCTTATTATTAAAAACAATTTTAAAAAATTTTTATCAAAATGTTTTTACAATAATGATGAAAAGTTATTTAACTATATAAGAATGTTTTTTCACATTATGAAAATGTGTTACAACAAATCATATTAATACTGTATATATATTTTGACTTCAGAATACGCAGGAGAAAAAATATGCTTTTTTAGAAATTAAACAAACCTGGCTAGAAGCACTTCATTCTGAACTGGGATGGGGCCTAGCATAGAGATGTTAATTTATTAAACCTGTGCATCTGAAACACATTTTAAGAAAGTTTCGATGGCCCGTCGATCGGTATGTTATCTTGAATCCCTTTTTTAATACCGGAAATTATTTTAAAACGCAAAAAAAAGATAGGATTTATATTTTGATTTAAAAATTACAAATAAAAAAAAATTTCTAATATCAAATTAAAGGAAAATTAAAAATTTTTTTTATAAATTGTTAATGTTTTATTTATTTTTTTTAACAAAATATTTTTATATAGATGGGATGGGACTTTATAAAATTTCTTAGTTATAATATCGTCAATTATCTCTTCAACACATTATTTTTTTAATTTTGCCATTAATTATAACTGTTTCCAAAGAGTGTTGCATATTGTATAATACCAGAGATCTGCAAAATTAGGCCTGGCCCGTTTAAAAAAATCGGATTCGGGACTAAATTTTTTTAAAAAAATCAGCCAGGTCGAGTCGGCCCTTGGAATTTTTTTAAATATATCTAAATTTATCAATTTTATGTTAAAATGTAAAATATTTTATTTTATTTATAGAATAGACGCTGCTATATAACATATATCTTTTATTTTGAGTAATTATAAAAATTAATTTCTATATTTAAATAGATTCTGGCCGTGCCGGTAAATTTTTTTTAAAAAAAACTCGGATTCGGGCGGGAAAACATTTTTAAAAAAAATCGGGTTAAAGCCGGAAAACATTTTTTAAAAAATTTCGGGCCGGGCTGTAAAAATTAGGCTTGATGCAGATCACTATAATACATTATTGTAATATATTTTCCTCTCGTTAACCAGCAATTAATAGGTAATTACTATATTTAGACCCGGGGTTCAGATGAAAAACACATTTGCATTTTATATATCAAGTAACAATTTTAATTTTTCTTTAATTTCATTAGAAATTATTTTCTATATTTCTAATTTTTAAATCAAAATATAAATCCTATCTTTTTTTGCGTTTTATAATAATTTCCGGTATTAAAAGAAGAAAACAGACAGGTCGACGGGCCATCGAAACTTTCTTAAAATGTGTTTCAGCATACGCAGGTTTAATAAATTAGTATCTCTATGGTTCAGAATCAAATGCTTCTAGCCAGGTTTGTTTAATTTCTAAAAAAGCATCTTTTTCTTCTGCCTATTCTGAAATCAAAATATATAAAATCAATTTACACTTTTTATTTAGTTTTAATTAAAGTTAAATTATCTGAAGTTTTTATTTTCAACATTTTCTTTCAACTTCAAGTTTTAAAAAGTAAATATGTTATTTTAATTATTTTACAAACATAATATTTTTTATCTCAACAATGGGTTTTATTTTTAATTTAATCAACATGTTTATTAAATCGTCACAACCAAGTCACAATAACAATGAAAAATAAAAAAACGCGTGCTGATTGTTAATTAATAATTTATGTTATATGTTAATTGTGAATTTAACAGATTCCAATCAAAAGCACCCCAATTTATACAAATTTTTAAATGGTAAGAAAATGAGATTAATATATAAGATTTAATTTAAGATTAGTAAATTAGATTTATTTGTTCTTAATTTGCATTTATCTGAACCCCGGGTCTGTGGTCTGGGTTCGTGCTCAGAGCTGGTTTGGTTGATTTTAGACCCAAACCCCAGATCTGGGTTTTACACAACCTACCAATTAACAACACTATCTTGAATTCATAGTGACGCGATCGCGATTTAACAGCTGATCGATTTTGTAATCTGTTAATGAGAACAATTTTTATTTATTAATATTAATTTTATCTTTAATCTAATTCATTATAATAATCTAAGGAATTATGATTTTAATAAAGAAAAATTGATCTCATAAACAGATTTTAAAAAACTGTCAGCTGTTAAATCGCCATCGCAATAGCGCCAATATGAATTCAAGGTAAGGCGAAACAAAAGACGGGTAAAAAAACTATTTTTAATTTATATATTTTTAATGCTTAGTAGGACAAAAAAAACTAGCTTAAAATAAAATATTGACATCCATATTTAACAACCAAATATTAATTTAATTCAACAATTGTAATTAAATAAATTGATGTGCAAATTATAATAAAATAAAGATTAAAAATAACTTAGAAATAAAATAAGAAAAACTAAAAATTTAAGAAAAGAAAAATTTTTTATTAGAAAATAACGATTTTCCTTTTTTTGATCAGACCTTTTTCTTTTTGGATCGGACTTTTTCCTCTTTTAATTGACACCTAACCTTTTTTGATTGAACATTCATTATTTTGATGACTTTTCCTTTCTTGAATGGGAAACCGATTTTTTTAAAATTATATAAATAACGTTCTTTAATTTGACACAGATAAGTAAAATATTTTTTTTAACTTATTTAAAATTAAACCGTCATGGTTAGCTGCAGACGAAATCTCGCAACACCAACATCATATCCCTTGTACGAAAAGCCGTAAATCAAATCTTCCCACCCTCTTCACGACAACAACGCCCATCTTCACCCGTTTACCAACCGTCCAATCAATTGCCGACGCGTAGAGCCTCTTCTGTCGAAGACATTTCGGACGTAGAAGAAGGGGGCGATGCACCATTCTCTTGTAACGCTGCTACTGGCAGTCGCGTGGTAAGTTCTATTGTTTTGAGTCGAATTCGCAGAGAAAGTCAAAAATCCGAAAAGCAACAACATCACAAGCATAGACATCACGGGAGGAGGCCTTGAGCATTACTTAAAAAATAAAAAGATACGAGAAACAGAATGGGAAATAAGGTCATACCTGGGAAACAAGAACAATAATCTTATATTTCAATAAGGAAATTTAAATATTGGAATCATTAATGCTTTTTATTAAAATATTACTTTTTGATAATCAATAATGTATACAACTTAACATATATATAATTTTTCTTCATTTTCATTTTAGACCCTAGAATTATTATTATTAATTTTTTGTTATTGTTACTTAAATTATTTGATTTTGTTATGGTATGGGTTTCATAACTAATTATTATCCTCATATTATTTTGAAATTTGGAAATAATCGAATAATATACATGCAAAAAAATTTTTAACTATAATTTTTTTTTATCTTGTTATATGTAAATACAAAATAATATTCCATAAATCTATTGTTAAATTTTTTAACAAATTGAATAAAGTTGTTTTGTTCTATAAAATAAAAGTATGATTTGAATTGGGCTATAATTAGGTAATTAGATTACATTCAGATGGATTAACTAAATTTAAGGGAATAATAAAAAAAGCTGGCTCTATTAATTTTATTTTTGCTTGTTGCATTGATAATCGGGGTTCCTAATGCATTGTGGCATCTTCCATATTTGTAATTATAATCTTTTTATACCATATTTGAGGTTTCTTTCTCTTCTATATTTGGTATGGCATTTATATCTTCATTAGATTGCCCTTTATATTCTGTATTCTTATCGTTATTAGAGATCGGAAAAGCTTGGCACTAGTGACGAAATTCCGCTCAATTTATGCCGATTTTTAAAAAAATGTTAACTTATTTTATCCAGAAAAATATTGCCTAAGACTTTAGATTTTGCTAATAGATGTTCAAACCTTTGTGCCATATGGCAAAATGTTTGGCCCGGTAAGAATTTTCGCACACCAATACCAACTCCATCTCCGAGTCCGATACCGCACACTGCAGCCGATCAAGAAACTCCGGCGTCAAGTATGTGTCCAGGGCTTTCGCTTCACCATTTCCTACCTGATTTCCATTGTTTACTACCGTATCCTCCCCTGTGGAATCCTCATTTACCCTCTTCTTCTAGCCCTTCGAATGTCTCTGTGTCCTAATTTACGCTTCCCTGTTCCTCCCGCGACCAGGATGACATGTTCCAAGTCACCTCGGTACCCTCCGCTTCTGGCCTGGTCACAATTTCTTCCATCTTCTTACTGCTCATACTCCCGTCTTTCCATCATGGGTCATTGACTCACAATATGCCCCCTCCTCCGACAATAATAACAGCGTCTATGTTCAATTCGGGGCGGTGCTCCCATTTGATCATATCTTCCCATCTGCGTCCAGCACAGCATTCTAGGTCTTATCAACACCTGTACTTCGAAATCTTGATCCAACATTGATTCATGCTTATTCTTAATTATAGGTTTAATTATCTTTATATATTCCCCTGCCCTTATATATTCAATAATTCAACCTATAAATAAATGATAAAAAAACAATTTCTTTTATACTTTAGAGCAACCCTCTTATTTATCCAAAATCAAAAAAAAATCCTAACTCACATATTTATCTAATAATATACAAAAAAAATTCTAATCTCACCTATTTATCTAATAATAAAAAAAACACAAGATTTTTACCTTTTATAATTTTAGAATTTATTAGAATTAGAACGAATTTTCCTTGAATTCCAACCAAAAAAATTTTTTTTAAATAAAACTTTTCTTCCCGTACCTTTTATACTTTTCCTTACCCAAAGTATCGTGTCATCTTTATTTTACTCAAATCTAATTTTAACTTTATATTCTTCTTTTTCCAACTAATTTTCTTATTCTTAATGATTTTTTACTCTTTAAATTTTCTTTACCAAACCCAAAATTTTCGAAATATCATCCTCGTTTTTTTTTATCTTAAAATCTAATTTTATTTAACTTTAACTCTCTCATTTTTTCTATTTTATGATTTATTACTCTTCTCCCATTCTTCTCACTAGTAACTTTGACACTATTTAACTTAATCTTACATTTTATATCTTGTCAATACTACTTACATCAAACGTCTTTAATTAAATTTCCCTCCATCTGTCGCGAACATTTCCCAAACATATTTAACTAAACGTATTATTGTCCTTCAACTAAAATCCTTTTTCATTAGAATTATTCAACAAATACATTTACGAATAATTTTTCCTTTAAGATTATTAACGAATACTATTTACCCCGTCAACCTAATTAAACAAACTTATTCAATCTTCCAATTGCGCTAAGCAATTTTATTAAGTGGCAAATGGATAATACTCGCCCCTCCAACAATATTATATATTTTATCCCCCACTACAAAAAAAATTAACCCTATTCTCCTCAATTGCCTCCCATTAAGATAAGTTATTTTATTAAGATAGGCTAATGGATATTACTTCCCCCTCCCACAATACTATATACTTTATTCCTCCCTACTAATATAACTATTTTATCAATTATATATAAATTTTTTTTTATTAAGCCTTTATCCCTGCCTAGTATACTTTAATTATTGACCCCTTTATCTCCCCTTGCAATCCCTCTCAATTTTTCAGGCTCAATCCGTTTGGGGAACTGATCCCTATGTTTAACTCCCTGTCTTCCGTCGACAAATTCTACTCGATTTACCTTGCACCCCATATTTTCAAAAATCACCCCGGCTCCCATTTCTGGTTACTTCCAAATATTCTCGCCCATACTGCTTGCCCTACCATAAATTTCGCTTCATTCCCGGTCTCAGACAGTTTCTTTCCCTGTCTTGTCGGTTTCAGCGAATCCAACCAAATTCTAGTTCTACGACCTAAAAACTTCCCCGCCGGTGACGGCTCATCCCCTTTTTTACTGTTGTTATAGTACGTCACTGCTACCCACATCTCTCCTCCCCCATCCTTTGACTTTCTCAACCAGTTCTTGATCACAGCTACCATCCGCTCTGCTTGTCCATTTGAACTCGGATGATACGGCGCGCTTTGATTCGTCTCAAATCTCAATCTTTTGAAGTCACCCTTTTAATTTCTTTCCATGTCAATGGCCCGCCTCTAGATATTCCAGCCATAGTCCTAATCATTACTTGCTCGTTTTCTTCGTCCTATACCTCTTGTTCTTTCTCCCCTAAATCTTCCCCCATTTCACATCTGGATAAAACGGCCAGCAAATAGTTTTCTCTCCCTGCGATATTTCACTTGGACGCCCAGTAGCAGTAACCATCTTTGTAACCGGGGTGATAGCATTAATTCTTTATTGTTCTTTTTGAAAAGATGTACACGGCTTATAGTCCGTGTAAATAACAAATCTGCTTTCAATTAGATATTCACGACACTATGTTAATTCAAAAATGACGACTAACGATTCCTGCTCAATCACGGAATACCTGGTCTCTGCTGCTCTAAATATTCTTGAGAAAAATAACACAGGCCTTTCTACTTCATCAATATAATGCAACAAAGCTCCTCCCACATTTTTATTAGACATCCACCGCTAATAACACTTCCAATTCATTATTAAAACACACTAAAACCGGTTCTTTTCCAATTCTACATTACAAATCTTTGAATGACTCCTCTTGCTCATCTGTACAATCAAATTTCTCCTATTTCTTTAATAATTGATATAATGGTGCTGCTATCTGAGAAAATCCTTCCACAAACCGATGATAATAACTACCATTCCCAAAAAGGCCTGCACTTCTGCTTTATTTTTAGGTCTTATCATATTATTAATTCTAATTCCTATCATATTCTTGTCCAAGGGTCTCAACTCCTTTCCCTTAATTTTGTGCCAAAGATATGTCTCTTCCATAACTCCCAACACACTTTGCTCCGCGCTGGCCCGCGATCCTATTTCTTTGATTCGAAATACTTCCTATCTCCACTCATGTTGTTCGGGAGTTCTTCCAGTCACCAACACATCCATATAGTAGAAACTCCCTCAACAGCAGCTATCGTACGTTGAAAAATAGGAGCTGAGACACTAAGTCCGAAAATCTACAAAATGCGAACAATCCCTTGGGCGTAGTAATAGTTAATAATTTCTTTATCTCCAGTTTTACACATAGTTGCAGATTTGCATTAGAGAAATCCACTTTTGAAAAATAAATGCCTTCCTTTAAACTAGCCAGTATTTCTTCAATTCTTGGCAATGGATATTTGACCTCCACAACCCACGGATCTAACGTGACTCAAAAATGTGCGCATAAACGGAGTTTTTCATTGGCTTTCTTCACTGTCACAAGCAGAGTTGCTCACTCACTGTATTCCACGGGATAAACAATGCCTCTTTCTACCCATTGATCTAACTCCATTTCCACTTCCTTTCTCCATTCAAACGGTATCCGTCTAACGCACCAAACTTTGGAACATAACCATCTTTTAATTTAATGTCTACTTCATAATCTCTGAGGCATTCCAAATCTTTGTTGAAAATTTCCTGATAATTTTGTACTAATCTCCGAACTCCTTCTTGCACTTTGATCATTCCCAATTTCCTTCCATCTTCTTCATTAGTTATCAACTTCTCTTCACTGAGCAATGTCGTGGCATTCATTACTTCCCGATTTTCTTGCGTTTTGGCATTCATCACTTCTCGATTTTCTTGATGCGGCCCTACCTCCCTTTTCCCAGTCTCTCATTCCTCTTCCCTCTTAATATCACGACATTCTTTAACAGGTCCAACATGCCCCGGGCAATTTTACCTACATTCTTTCTTGAATTATTCCTTCTTATTTTAACCCAGGAATTATTTTTTTCAATCTCCCTCTTGGAATTCCTTTTCCCTATCCCGCTTCTAGAGTTATTTTCCCTCGTTTTGTTCCTAAAATCATTTTCCCTTGTTTTGCTCAAATTATTTCCCCTAATTTCGCTTCCAGAATTATTTCTCCTAATTTCGCTCCTAGTACTATTTTCCCTTGTTTCCTCCATAGGTTTCAATTCCCGGCAACACATTCTCTTTCAAGGTCATAACGGCATATTCCTCACTAGTTATTTTTACAAATACACCCCACCATGAAAATACTCCCCAAAAACTATACCATGGACCAATTCTAGTGCCAGTCCCATCCCAAAACCGCTTCTATACTCCGATCAATAACCCATAAATCTAATGTCTCAACCCTATCTCCCAATGTTGCTACTATTTCCACCCTTCCCATTGCAGGGTCCCATCGAATTGTCTATTCTTAAGCCCTCATTCTCTATCATCTCTCCCGGCCAGATATACTGATATTTATCATATCCAATAATGAAAAAACTGCTCCTGTATCAAACAACATGGTAATTATTTTCCATTTAAATTAATCATCACTCTAGGACGCG